TCTTTTTCTTATGGTAGACAATCTAAGCTTCTTGTAAATCGCACAGTGGTGGACCTCCAATCATCCAGATGGTATGGATGGTATCGCGAGTTTTGTCGCGTTGTGCGATGGTGAAATTGAGCGGTTAGAATTGGTCCGAAAAATTCTTCAGACCTCTCCCCGTGGTAGATGCAATTAAATACGTAAAGAGATGCAACATCTCTGCGCCGTGTTAGTGAGTCAAGCCGTTCAGGAAGAGCTCAGTTGCCACAATTCGAACCGCTCTGCGCTGGATGCGATCACATGGAAGGTGCTGCCCTGTGGTTCTCCGGCGCAGAGATGAAAAAAGTATTCCATGTTAGGCCGAACCTGTGCCTTGTAAAGTTGCAGGCGGTGTGCCGGCATGAAATACTGTCCCGTTCTGCTGAGCTCGCCAAGCTTTTTTGAGGCCAATTTGGCCTTCTCTTCTAAGTGACCACGAGACTGCACGTCATCTAATCACAAACTGCGGACTTCCCAGAGCGTTGGTGTTTCACGTCAGCTATATATTCTTTTACGCGGGTTTTATTGATCTTAATATCCCTCTTATATACGGCAAATAAAACCTACTACTCCGGGTTAACTTTGATATCGGAACGCCCCCCCCCCCCCCCCTTGTGACCATGGATACTGCAAAGCACTCCAAACGTCGGGTATTAAAAATAAGTAAATTAAACGTAAATTAGCCGTGTAGTGGCGGTTAAGAATATCCACTACCCCATATCCTCCCGTGGGTGTCGTAAAAGGCGACAAAGGGAAACAGGCAGGAGATGGGCAGCAGCATCTTCCTGATAATAGCCAAAATAACAATAAAAGAACCGCGGTTGCCAACCCGCTCGCCAAGCGTGGCAACTATGGCAATATACCCCCCATGAGCAATGACAATAATAAACGGCCCCTAGTCCCCGGCGGCCCCGCTATTCCTGGCTACGGTGACGACCATGGTAACGGCGGGGCAGGGGGTGCTAAGAATCTCCGGTGGAGGTTCGGTTGCCACCTACGACGACTCGACCTGGCAACATACAACGCACGCACCCTGAGGACTGACGAGAAGATTGTGGAGCTGGAAGAAGAGATAGACAAGTTACGCTGGCATATTATAGGATTATCCGAAGTCCGAAGAGAGGGGGAGGACACGGTAATCCTCGAATCCGGCAACTTGCTCTATTACCGGGAGGGCGACCATCTGTCCCAAGGAGGTGTTGGATTTATCGTCCACAAGTCTCTCGTTAACAACGTTGTAAAGATTGAGAGTGTGTCGACGAGGGTTGCGTACCTTATACTCAGAATCACCAAACGGTATTCGCTGAAGGTCATACAGGTTTACGCACCAACCTCGGCACACCCCGATCAGGAGGTGGAGGAAATGTATGAGGATATATCTAGAGCCATGCATTCCTCCAAAACCCAATATACGGTGTTAATGGGAGACTTCAATGCAAAACTAGGCACAAGAGAGTACGGTGAGCTGAAAGTAGGGAAATTTGGAATAGGGCAACGGAACCCAAGGGGCCAGCAGTTGGCTGACTTCATGGAGAAAGAGGGACTCTTTATGATGAACTCTTTCTTCCAGAAGCGGCCCCACAGGAAGTGGACCTGGTCGAGCCCCGACGGTTCGACAAAAAATGAGATTGACTTCATTATGACGACCAGACGACAACTGTTCAGTGATGTCTCAGTGATCGCGAGGGTGAAAACCGGCAGCGATCACCGAATGGTTAGAGGCACACTGAACCTAAACGTTAAGTTGGAGAGGTCTCGTCTAATGAAGTCAACGCTCCGTCCCCTTCGTGCTCTAATCCAAAGTCCCGAAACCTTTCAGCTCGAGTTACAAAACCGTTTTCAGTGCCTAGAAGACTGCAATGAAGTGGACGATTTGAATGACAAGCTCGTGGAAACTGTCCATGCGGTCGGAGCTAAGTTCTGCAAGACCCGCCGCAGAAGAACACAAAAACTCTCCGATCACACTCTTAATCTCATGGCTGTTAGACGGGAGATGAAGCTACATTCTTCAACAGATTTAACAGCATACAGGCAACTGAACAGACAGATCTCCAAATGCATGCGGCGGGACTTACGCAACTTCAATACAGCTCGTATTGAAGAAGCGATCGAGCGGAACCAAGGCTCCAAAGTCTTTGTCAGAGATCTGTCTGCCAGAAAGCGCCAACTGTCAAAGCTGAAGACAGAGTGTGGCAGCATCGTTTCCGAGACACCTGAGATTTTGAGTGAGATTGAGAGGTTCTATGGGCAGCTGTACACGTCATCGTTGGAGCTGCACGCAAGTGTGAGTAACGATCCAAGAGCGAGTCTTATCCGACATTATTCCGATGATATCCCGGACGTCAGTCTGAGCGAGATTAGAATGGCTCTCCAGCACCTTAAAAACGGCAAGGCCCCAGGCGAGGATGGAATTACAGCGGAGCTTCTGAAAGCGGGTGGAAAACCGGTACTTGAAGTCCTTCAGAAGCTCTTTAATTCCGTCCTCCATGGTGGCATTACACCGGAGGCGTGGAGCAGAAGTGCGGTGGTCTTGTTCTTCAAGAAAGGCGACAACGCTCTCTTGAAGAACTACAGACCGATTTCCCTTCTGAGCCGCGTCTACGTGCTGTTTTCGAGAGTCATTACGAATCGTCTCGCTCGCAGACTTGACGACTTCCAGCCTCCCGAACAAGCCGGTTTCCGAAAAGGCTTTAGCACCATAGACCACATACATACCCTTCGGCAAATTGTACAGATGTCCGAGGAGTACAATTTGCCACTATGTCTGGCGTATGTGGACTATGAGAAAGCCTTTGATTCCGTCGAAATTTGGGCGGTGCTGCAGTCCCTTCAGCGATGCCAAGTTGACTGTCGGTATATCGAAGTGTTGAAGTGCTTGTACAGTAGGGCTACGATGGCTATCCGAGTACAGAACCAGAGTACGAATCCTATCCAATTGCAGAGAGGTGTAAGACAGGGTGACGTCATATCCCCGAAACTCTTTACCGCTGCATTGGAAGATGTTTTCAAGCTTCTGGACTGGAAAGGATACGGTATCAACATCAATGGCGAGTACATCACTCACCTTCGATTTGCCGACGATATAGTCCTTATGGCAGAATCGCTGGAGGACCTAAGCACTATGCTCAATGACCTCAATAGTGTTTCCCAACGGATAGGTCTTAAGATGAACATGGACAAAACAAAGATCATGTTTAATGTCCATGTCACACCTATGCCGGTAGTTGTTGGGAACACTAAGCTCGAAGTTGTTGACGAGTATGTTTACCTGGGACAAATAGTCCGACTAGGTAAGTCCAACTTCGACCGAGAGGTCAATCGACGGATTCAACTCGGTTGGGCAGCGTTCGGGAAATTACGGCACATCTTCTCGTCAGGTATACCTCAAAACTTGAAAACGAGACTGTACACCCAGTGCGTGTTGCCAGTGATGACATACGGAACTGAGACGTGGTCCTTCACTGCTGGCCGGATGAGGAAGCTCAAGGTCGCTCAGCGAGCTATGGAGAGGGCTATGCTCGGAGTTTCTCTGCGTGATAAACTCAGAAATGAGGATATCCGCAGTAGAACTAGAGTGACCGACATAGCCCAACGGATTAGTAAGCTGAAGTGGCAATGGGCCGGCCATATAGCTCGAAGAACCGACAACCGATGGGGAAGAAAGGTTCTCGAGTGGCAGCCTCGTACCGGCAGGCGAAGTGTAGGGCGTCCCCCCACTAGATGGAGTGACGACCTGGTAAGATATGCAGGAAGTCGATGGATGCAGGTGGCTCAGGACCGTGCTTTGTGGCATTCTTTGGGGGAGGCCTATGTTCAGCAGTGGACTTGTGAAGGGCTGTAATGATGATGATGAAATTAAACGAGCTAAATCCGTCAAAATAATTTTATTCAATGTGTAGTGTTCGCGTAAATATAAGAAATCATTTTGAACTTTGTTACAATCTCATAAAATAACAAATATGTAAATCAAACGACCCTGTCACTAATCGGTGCACTAGCTGACACAGGTCTGGGGAACGTCAAGTAGCGGTTTCCTACCGATCGTCTTCTTAGAACGGATTAGGTCGCCTTGACCCTGCCGATGCGTACTGTGTATTATCCGTGCTCGTAGGTTATTGTTACGGTATACTTCATAAATGTTAGAATGATTTTAAATTATATTTATGACGTCTATTTTCAGCAGTGGACATGTGAAATACTATAATTATAGTGTTGATGATAAAACCAGTGACGTAGCAAGGGGGGCCCCTGTTATGGCTCGGGCGGCAGATTTTAGGAGGCGGCAATTTGGGAAAGATAGTCAGCTCTTAACTTTGCTTTTAAATGATGCGAGTGAAAATCTCAACATTTCTGAAAATTAGGAGTTATTGAATGCTGTTGATTAAATTGAAACGAAAACTGTTGCAATGAAAGTTCTGAAGATAAGGATAATGTGCACACGCATACATATAAGAGTAAACGCATATTATAATACTTATAATTATTATTTTTTTAATTTAATAATTATAAGTAAGTAATAATGATAATAAATAAATAAATAAGGCAAAAAAGTAATGAGACTAAAATTTTTCGACTGCTTCAAACGAGGTAGAATTGATCAATTTTAAATTTATTTAATCATATATTTTGAAATTAGTTTAAAAGCAAATTAAAATCTTGTCGCGGTGTATACACTCGGTGTACGTACATCTTGCTTAGAAATCAGTATATTATAGTGTTCCCATCTCGATACACGCATATTCTTCCAAACCGCATTTACGAAAAGGACATGACGTCTCGTTCCATTAATGACGCTATAGTTGGTTTAGTTTCCATTATCGCTACACAAACTGGAGAAAGTTATTGGCACCGTTAAAAATGTAGAGAGACGCCATCCAGGCGAACATCCTAGCGTCGCGGCGCGGGACGCGCGATAATGCAATTACAAATAGTAATCTGTGGTTGCGTGCGGAGCTACATCGCACACTTGTAAATCAGACATGCGTGGAAGCACTGCCGGGCTGGCCGACACGCTCGCGAGCGGCTCGCGAGCGCACGCCGCGTTACTCGAGACCGCGGACTGCCTGTTCGCCAGTATTGTGGTCGCGCCCGCCGTCGTCTCCTACTGGAAGTCCACATGGAGCCTCATGGACTTGTACGTGCTCCCAGACCAACCAGTCAGCAGCGCAGCCGCGTGCGCGATTTTCGGCCTGTGCTGTGATCTATTCCTGTGCGTGTTCCAATCCAAATTGGGCAAATACCTCAGGCCTGACCATGGCCGACTTACTTATTACGTGTTCTCGAGGGTTTATACTTACGTGGCCGGCGTGGCCTGTGTGGGCGCATGGCGCGGTGTATGGAACCTATTAAATGAGTGCACGGGTGATAGCGCGAGGACTTTGCTTTCCACCACTGCGGCTGCTACTTTGTCATTGGCTGCTTTACGGGCTTTAAGGAACATCAGCGCAGCGCCTTTTGCTGTTGCAGTGGATGGGCCCCACGATTACTTCGATGTCCCGACAATGTTTCGAACGGTTAGTATACCTTATAAGTGATAAAATCTCACTATTGATTAGGATTGAAATTATTAAAATCCAACTTATATCAGAGCGTAGCATACTCGTAGCAATCTTTGCTACGAAAGATTTGCTTCAATATTCGTTAAAATTAGTAATAAGCTATAACTTCCAAACTCAATTTTTAAGAATATTTTACTAGAAATAAAACCCAAAAAACATATTTCTCTGAATTCAAATTATGTTTACGTTTAGATTATATAATATATATTTCTTAAAAAATTATTTAAAAAAAAATATTTTCATTAAATTTAAAAAAAAATTGAAGGCTTGGCTAAATAGCTTGTGTTTAATCAAAAAAATCATTAAACATAAATAAATTACATATTTCTAAATCCTGCCCAAATTACTTTCTTAAGAGCCAATATCTATATGGCAGGCGAGTTGACATTCGTAATCGTAGTTATATTAGATGATGTTAACATTATCTTGTACCTTGTGACGTTGTAATATCACCGTCTAACTTTTTGCCATGTAATCTTTTCACCTCATAAGACACCTACAAAAATGTTATAAAAATTGGTATGCTACTAATATAATCTATTAAAAATGTAAATGTTCGTTAGTTCAAAACTTTCAAGAGTTCTTTACCACACCTTGCGTTCATATACTATTTAGCCACAGCAACGCGTGACCGGATACTGCTTGTTATATAATAATAATAAAAGATGTATGTACTAAGAAACTTGACTAACCCGATTTCAATCCACGTCAACACTTCTAAAATCGCTCTTTTAGTGTTGATTTACCCGCGGGATAATTGATTTACTTAGAGGTGAAAGTAAAACATCGCGAAGAAATCTTCATTTTTAAAATACTAATTTTAAAGACATGTGAAGTCCTTTAGTTTACATCAGAGGAATTGTTTCCGTTAGTTCAGGACGATATACTCTTTCTGCTACAAAACACTAACAGAATCAAAAACTTTTATTTCTGAGAGTCTTTTCTGAGTGCCTGAGCAATGACTATTTCTGAGTGCCTGAGAAGTGACTTTTTCTGAGTGCCTGGGCAAAAGTCTGTTTTTAATTCTGCCAGTGCTTACAAGTATAATGCACTATAGCGGCTGTTACTTTATAGTATATACATATATATACTATTTTTAATTAAAAATAAACTAGTAGTGAGGCACTAGATCTTAGTTCTTAATGCTATCTACGTATGTGAAGCTCTAGTATAGACGAGAGCTTCACATAACATAGGTAGAGCCATGCTGCAGCTATATTAATAGTATAGTTGTAGGACGAATGGGTCGGCTCGACCGGGAAAGGACCACGTTCTCACAGGATACCAGCTTAAAATAGCAGCTTAATGCTGCTGTGTTTTGTATAGTGAGTGTAGAGAACCGGAGACCCATTTTACTAGAAAAGAGGCATTCCATCTTAGTCCTCACGGCTGACAACGCATCTGCATTTTAATTCGCAAACGAAGATAGATGTAGATGTCCATGGGCCACAGCACCCACTTACCATCAGGTGGACTGTGTGCTCGTTTGTCACCCTTATTCTATATAAAAAAAGACTACTGCTGAAGCATGAAGGCAGCAAACCTGATTTGTTGCCATTAAACGCGTAGTAACGGCACAAGATAATCCAACACCGCGTATCCCACGGATATCATAAGAGGCAACAGATAGTAATTAAATTGAATATGGCCAGAAGCATCTTCCTGATAGCAACTTAAAACAATAAGCAACTGCGGTTAAGGACCCACCCTATAACAGGTGATTTCTGGATGTCGAAAATAGTGTCACCTACCAGGTCCAACTACAGCTAATAACATCCAGGTGATCACATAAGTAGCCTCATAAACATTTTATTAAAATCGGTCAAGCCGTTTAGAAGAATTACGAACACACGCACAACGGAATAAATAAAATAAGAGATTAAAATAACATAACAAACTCCCCGATGAACTTAAAATCCTAAACATTACATTGTTTAAAGAGAAATTGTACAAATGGGCCAATGAAAATAATTTCTACAGCGTAAAACAATTCTTGGATGGTAAAAATTAGATTCTATATTGGACAATATCTATTATAAATTTTTATTTAATTATTGTTATAGTATTGTTACAATTTATCTTTAAATAAGTTATGCGACGTTTTACTATTTAAATCATTGAGTTATATGTACTACGTACTAGAGAAGCCATTCCAAACAAAAATTGTGTCCTACTCTATGTCTTATGTTATATGAGTAGTAGTCGCGTATGCGCGAAGACTTTAATTTAATATAAAATAAGATATTAATATAAAATAAATTTAAGAATTTAATATAAAATATCTTAATTTAATCTAAACAAACATATTTCTAAATAAAATGTTATAATAATTATTTTATGGAATTCACAAATCTTCAATTTACGCAATATTTAGTTTGTATGGATTGCAGTACAGTTCAGTTGAACATAGTCAATGTTCAGAATGGCTTCTCTAGTACGTAGTACATATAACTGAATGATTTAAATTGACAATGCACAAAATTGACATTTAACTTATTGTTATTATAATATTTCTCTATATTTTATTTTTAATTGATTTATGTGACTTATTGTTATCTTATTATATTCAAATAGCTAAGGAAATATTTAACATTGTTTAATAAAATATTTGCACGCTATGTAAAAGAAGCAAAACATGAGCGCTCGTTTTTACATATTAACAACATTTATACCATGTTTTACGTAAATGAAGTTTATTATTATTATTAAATATATATATGTCTTTCATTTTATTTATTTTAATATAACTAGAGTATATTATTAAATATATATATGTCTATGATGATATGATTTATATATATATATATATATATATATATATATATATATATAAATCATAACAATATTTTCAAATGTTTATTATTAACTAAATATCAGGATATAACCTAATTACATAGTAATCTCACGATGTTCAAATTGATGTTCAAGTACGTAGTACTATTATTTTTAATCTGTGGTTCCACCCAACTGTTAGCCTATCGTGTATTGTCAAATAAGCAGCACTCTCTGATTGGCTCGAGAAGGTACTATGTCCGACGAAGGACGTATCATGTTATAATAATTTCCAAATATATGTACTTGTACATGGACATGAACGCGTATGTGGAAAATGAAAAAGATATTTTTAAAATATTTTTTTATTTAATTTAAAATGATCCTTAATTTAAGTTTTTAGTTTTGACGGCTCTGTGGTCCTTTGCACAGAATAAATAACCAGTGGTAGAGGGCCGCGGTTTCGTATGCCGCACGGAAAACTGTATGGCATACAAATAATTGTTCCGCGTGAAACTGGATGTTTGTCCTTGTGAAAAATATGTACGTAACCTGGCCTACACGATACAGGAGAAAATCCTAGTGTGTATGTGGTCAGGACTATATGTTGGATGAATTAACACTTCCCAACCAAGCTCTCCGTAGCTCTCTCTGCTGGCCGTATGAGGAAGCTCAAGGTCGCTCAGCGAGCTATGGAGAGGGCTATGCTCGGAGTTTCTCTGCGTGATAAACTTAGGAATGAGGATATCCGCAGTAGAACCAGAATAACCGACATAGCCCAACGAATTAGTAAGCTGAAGTGGCAGTGGGCCGGCCATATAGCTCGAAGAACCGACAACCGATGGGGAAGAAAGGTTCTCGAGTGGCAACCTCGTACCGGTAGGCGAAGTGTAGGGCGTCCCCCCACGAGATGGAGTGACGACCTGGTAAGACATGCAGGAAGTCGATGGATGCAGGTGGCTCAGGACCGTGCTTTGTGGCATTCTTTGGGGGAGGCCTATGTTCAGCAGTGGACTTGTGAAGGGCTGTAATGATGATGATGATGATGATGAACCAAGCTCTCTCAATTTTCGTTGAGTGGCTAAAGATGTGTGTGTTCGGGCTTTATCATGATGAAAAATCACTCCTTTTCTGTTGTACCGGCCGTTATTTCTCAATTTTTCGCAGAGATCCAAAACGATAATTTTGCCCGGCGGTAAAAGCTCATAATAAGCGATGCCCTTCCAATCCCACCATACACACAGCATCGTGCTTGACTATCCTTTGACCATAATCTTTTTCGCACATTCTTGTTGTGGGTAATCCAATTTTCATCACCAGTGATCAATCTTTTCAAAAATAGTTCAGTTTCATAACGTTTCAATCGAGAATTGCAAATGAATATACGATTCATTAGATTTCTTTCAGTGAGCTCGTGTGGTACCCCAATATCGAGTTTTTTGTGTAGCCAGACTTTTTCTAATGGGTCAAAACTATTTTCTGGTTAATCTAAAAAAATAAATATTTACCATGAGATATAATATATAATATGTTATATAACATATAATCCTCAATTCCTCGGCTATGTCGTAACTACCAATATGTCGATTTTGCTCCACTTTTCCAAACATGTCATCGGCTTTATCAGTATAAGGGTGACCAGAGCGAGTTGCATCTTTGATACCTAAATTCCCGGACTGAAAACGCTTGAACCAACTTTGTGCAAAGTTTTTTTAACGGCTTGAGTCGAATGTTTTCATTTTTCGTAATAAAACTTCAGAATGTATCGAATTTCTTCGTTAGATTCACTCATTTTGGCGGACAGAAAAGCAAAAGTGTTTTTTACTTTTAATTTTTTTTCTTAATGTCCTATATATATTGATATTAAAGCCAGCCAGATAGATACAAACAATGCAACCAAAGAGATTATTCTTCAATTTTATACAAACAAAATAGGCAGAAACTTTTTCCCCGACCTAACTATTATTTAACACTATTAATAACACAATTATGTTGATACAGTATAGTAAGTCTATATTTATTTATTTATTCTTTATTGTTTTCTGTATTACAAACTCTACCAGTCAACCCACGGTGTATATATATTTTTGTAAAAATTAATCAACTTACCAACGACGTCCAAAAAGACCTGACTTGATCTTCAGGGCAGAGGAATATGTCAAATAGTGCCCAGGAACCTCGCC